GAAAAGTAGGTTGTTTTAACAGATGTAGATTATGTTTTACTTGTGTGGTTTGAACAGTTCAAAAGGTGAGCTCAGACCAGCCCTGAGTGTAAAGAAAAGGAAACACCCTACTGCATAAACCAATGTATTGTTACTTAACTGGAGCATTGTTACTTAACCGTATTGTTACTTAATGGAGCAAGTATTAATGCACATGGCAAAAAATATTTTAAAGAAATCTAATCTTGTCCAAGCATGAATACAGTACACAATACCACCAGTAGTGTAAAAAAGCAATTTATTGCTAAGCTCTAGGTAGCATTATTATATAGAATAATATAGAAACAGTGGCCAGTGATCTGCCATCATTGAAAAACAAATTATAAGATTGCCTACCTCCAATGTACAATTGTTAGGAACATCTCATTTTCTTTTTGTCCAATCTTTAACATACAGTGGAGAATGCCAACCTTGGAGTTTTATCTGAGCCTCAGGGCTTCCAGCACAGATATCTTCTCAAGGACACACATTTATTACACACTCAAGTACTTTTTATTGGCTTTTACAATTCCTTCTCGTTAGAGTGAGCAGCACGAGTGTGACCTTTCCTACTGTTATGCTCCTAGGTCACTCTCAAGACAAAAATGGTACCTAAAACAGGGGTCAGAAACCTTTTTCAGCCGTGGGCCGGTCCACCGTCCCTCAGACCATGTGGTGGACAGGACTAGATTTTGGAAAAAAAAAAGAACAAATTCCCATGCCCCACAAATAACCCAGAGATGCATTTTAAATAAAAGCACACATTCCACTCATGTAAAAACACGCTGATTCCCAGACCGTCTGTGGGCCAGACTGAGAAGGCGATTGGGCCGCATCCGGCCCCAGGGTCTTAGGTTGCCTACCCCTGCCCTAAAATTACCCATTCTCTCCCCTTCTCCTCCACAAGGAGCATCCGAGATTAAGAAAGAGCCACTGTTCAAAAGACACCTTCCTCCTTGGGAACTTTTACTGGTACTGATGTAAATGAATAGGTAAGAGTCAATGCTACTGGCATTCTACTTCAAAACATGCCCCAAATCCAGTAAGTTGCAGACCAGGGACTCGCAGAGAAAAGTCCCACTAATATATATATCCCCAAACACTCTACCTATCTCAAGGAAATCTTGTTCACTTATTGGGAGGGGAGAAGAGAGTAAGTTTCCATTTAGCTAGTTATCTTTCAATACACCTTGAGGGAATTACTGTTGCATAATGGGAGGATTTCATTCCCACACTTCTTCCAAAGAGTTTAGTACATTTACCGAATTCACCTTTATCTGTACAACAACCCTGGGAGCACAACGAGCCCAAGGATGCTCGTTGAAATTTAAGTACAGGGTGGATTCTTGAACCAGGGTCATGGTCCAAAACTTGCTTGAGAGTAAGCCTCACCCCCACAGTTGTTCATAATTTTAAACCGCATGGGGGTGAAAGCTATGTAGATGCAAGTATAACAATAGCATTTTTCGCCTGCCTCAGAAGCTGCCCCTCAAGCAGAATGCCGCCCTGCCTCCCCTCCCAGGACTACAATAGTGAACATGTTAGAAATCTGTTTCATCCACAAGGACGTTAAGCAATCTGCACGATATGCAGGCTTATCTCGGTGCACAGGTCGTCAACCAGTCAGATGCTGAACACTTTGAACTCCGTTCCAAAGAAGGTAGAAAAAAAGGGGCTCTGTTTAGTTATACCAATGGCTTGGCAAACACACAAGGTGTTTCTTTTCTTTAAAGAGCAGACGGCATAAATGCTTCAACTATACAATCCTCCTCCCACCCCAAGAACACTGCATTGTTAGAATGCAAAGTTAAGAAAATAAAATGGAATTCAAGCCATTGCAGCCTAGAGATAAAACTGTCCACCGTTAACAGGAGCCTAAAATGACCCCCTTCATGCCTAGTGCCAGTGTTAAAACGAAGGGACGTTATAGGAAATATATTCAATTTCCGCTTTGTTTTATAGCTAGAGCTTATGAAACCTGTTGTCCGCTCTTTTTAACTCCCAACAACCGCGACGTGCACCTTCTCATCGCCGGAAAACCACCCCAGGCGGGCGCCGCTTTATTAATAGCATGCAAAACTATTTATTTTCTGCTTGCTTCACTACCGAGACCTCGATTCACTCCAATATCCCATTTCGCTTCGGGTTCCAGAAACCGATTCCCCCCACTTACCTGCGCCGCTGCTGTGCAGCCGCCCGCGAACAAGGGACACTTTTGTTCGCTCCAGCGCCGAGGGCTCGAGCTTCACTCTTCCCCTCCCGCCTCCTTCACCCTCCTATCTTTGCCACGCCCCCTTAAAATAGCACCCTGCACCCACTGCCCAATCACCTGCCGGGTTTGTTCAGCATCATCCCGTGCTTCACCGCTGGATTGGTGCATCTGCCTCAAGCCATCAGCTGAGCCGATGCCAGTCACCATGGCAGCAGCCGCCTGATGAATATTGCGAAGCGGAGGAAGAAACGCTTTGTTGATAAAGAGCGCGCGCGCGCGCGCGCGCACGAGCGAGCGGCTTGGCCGTGGTGTGCATAAAAACGAATGTGGGAAATCCAACGGAAGCCTCCTTGCACGTGTTGCAAATCACTAAGAAAAACATGCTTGATGTGGCATTTTCTAGGAATGATAAAAAGGCTTGCAATCCCGAAAAGTTTCAGGAAAGGGGCAGCTGAAATGGTCAAGGGACAGGAGAAATTCCTATAGGAGGAAAAAAGGTTGCAGTATCTGGCGCTTAAAAGAAAAGTAGGGCGCTGGAAACAAATAAGACAGGACACGAAAGGTGAACAGGCTTCTTTGAAAATATTAGGACACGAGAACGTCTGATGAAGCTGAATGTTGGACGATTCAGGGAAGACCAAATAAAGCATTATTTGTTTGCAGATCACAGGGCAGTTCACAACATAAATGATCAACATGAGGACACAAATTACTGTACATTAAGGTTATCAGATTTTTTTCAATGAATCCGGGGACACTTTTCAACTTCAGTAGGAACGATAGGATTTTGTGTGGGGACTGATTTGTAAATCCAAGGGCAGTCCCCAGGAAACGGGGACATCTGGTAACCTTACTGTACATACCACCCCCACCAACAAGCTAATAACCTCCTTTCCAGACAAAGCACATCTTCATGCAATGCACAGCTAAACCTCAGAATTCTCTCCCACAATATGTGGTGGCTATCAGCTCGAATGGCTTTCTAAGTAAGTTAGACAAATGCATGGGGAGAACAATGGCTGTATATTAAAGTGGTACCTCGGGTTAAGTACTTAATTCGTTCCGGAGGTCCGTACTTAACCTGAAACTGTTCTTAATCTGAAGCACCACTTTAGCTAATGGGGCCTCCTGCTGCTGCCGCGCCGCCGGAGCACGATTTCTGTTCTCATCCTGAAGCAAAGTTCTTAACCTGAAGCACTATTTCTGGGTTAGCGGAGTCTGTAACCTGAAGTGTATGTAACCCGAGGTACCACTGTACTTCCAAGATGAGAGGCAGCATGGGTGTAGCCATGGGGGACAGGGAGGGGCAGTTGCCTCCCCAAATCAATAAATGTCAATAAAAATACATGGCTAACTGAGGTTCTCCCTCCCCCAAAAGGCCTACACCCCACTAACAAAAATCCTGGCTACACCCATGAGAGGCAGTATAATTGCTGTGATTCACAAGTTGGGCTGCTGAGCTCATGTCTTGACTTGCATGTTAACTGGGTCTTTCCCCCTTACATGGGCTCTATAGTTATAACTTCTACATCACAAACAAATTCAACAGGTTAATTTTTGCTCTTTCCTTGTCTTTCAGTGTGACGGCATAACGCCAGCTCTGGAAGCAGCTGTTCTACATCTATAGAAGAAAATATGGGGGAGATGAGCATAGCAGTCTGGGGGATTTGGGCTAGGGTTAACTTGAGTCATGGTAATCCCAAAACTGCTGTCAGTTACAAGAAAAAAAGGCCACATAAAATGGGGGATTCTTAGTAAAGGAGAACATATGTGACTATTTTTGCACTATCACAGCAGCCCCAGAACATATAAATTAGAGAACATTGCTTTTAGTCAGATTTGTCTCCTTTTAAAAACTACCAAGGAACATCCATGCAGGAGAAAAAGTTGCACAGGGAGCAAGCCTCAGTGGACACAGTGGTAATTACTTCCATGTAAAAGTAGGATTGCACTGTTTTAATATTGTGTTTTAGTGCTGCTGTAAACTTGCCTTGGGACCTTAGGATGGAGCAGGTAATTTAGAATAATAACAGCCCTCCAGGGGAATGCAGCTATGTTATATTATGTTTTCCTTATTTCAGATACAGGCTGTAGTTGTTAAACGCCTTACAACTTTATAATAATGGCTTTGTAACTGTGACTTGCTCACTTTTGATTGGTGAAATTGTTTTACGAGACCAAGACAGACGAACGCCAACCAACCATGATGCAACATAGACACTACTGAAACAACTACATCATAGGATATGCATATATTTCAAGCACACTCATTTTTCTAAGTGCATTTAATTGAACCGAAATCTCGCACAATCATGCTTAAAACGGTACAGATGCCGAAAGAGACCCGGTGGGGGGGGTGAGCCAAAACAAACCCTAGACCTAAAATCGCAGAAAAAATGCCAATCTGGTTTAAATGGCCCCCTCCACCAACCCCGTAAACCTTCTCTCCACCCCGACCCACCAATCTAGCGCCCTACAGGATACAGACGCGTGTTCAGCTGAACATAAAGACTCCGTTCATTTATTTACACGGGAACCACATTACCGTTCTCAACCATTTCTAGCCGTGCCGGGAGAAAACTGAAATACCAAAGGAAGCCAGGGGGGGCGCGAACGCGTTACTAATGGCGTCGCGTCCGCGCTACCCTCTCTCATCTCTGTGGTGAAAGCCCTCTGCTTGGCGCTGGGATAACGAGAGTGGGAGGTTTAGTTCCATTTTCGACTCCCTTCCTACCTCTATGATTTATCCCGGAAGTGCCCCGCGGGGCTTATGTGCCCGGCTCCCCCACCGGAAGCGAAAGGGTCCGCTTTTGCTCTGGGGGCTGTCGCTGTGTGTTGTTTACAGCCGACCTACTGTCGCCCAAGGGCTCCCGGGAGAAGCGAAGCCTCAGGCACCGAAGCACCATGGGCAGGAAGGTGACTGTGGCCACCTGCGCCTTGAATCAATGGGCGCTGGATTTTGACGGCAACCTGGAAAGGATATTGAGAAGTAAGGCAAAGCAAAGAACGCTGGTGTTTCTTGGGTGAGGGGGGGGCGTGTGTGTGTGTGTGTGTGTGCGCGGCGGCGTGCGTGCGTGTGCATATATATATGCATGCAGTGATTCTTCAACTTCGTCGGACTGGTCATGTGCGGATGCCTGATTATCGTCTTCCAAAGCAACTCTATTCCAAACTTAAAAATGGAAAGCGTAATGCTGGTGGTCAACAAAAGAGGTTCAAAGACTGTCTCAAGGCAAATTTTAAACAATGTAGTATAAACAGCAACAATTGGGAAACACGAGCCTGCGAGTGCTCCAATTGGAGAACAGCCTTTACCAAAGATGTAACTCTGCAATGAATACCTTCCAACTCTGCAATGAATACCTAACTCTATGAAAGGCCGGCACTTCTCTTTACTCTGTGGTTGTGGTGGAGTTAGCTTGCCCTGTGCCCCACAGCAGCACAACAATAAATTATGCAAGTGGTAATAAATTATAATAAATTATGCAATGAGATGAAATAACAAATGCAATGAAATAATAAATTATGCAATGAGATGTTTCAGACACAGGTGCTCTTGTTCAGGGTGCCATGCAGATTTTCCCCTTCCAGGATTCTATTTCTTTTCTCTTTTTCCAATTATATTTTATTAAGTTTCAACATTTTTAGTATATACAATCAAAACACATTTTCATCTTTTCTCCCACCCCGTTTTCCATGGAGTTGTTGTTTCTCCCCTTCTGCTGGGCCCTATCTTCTATCTGTTAAATTATAATCACAATATTATAATGAATTACTTCCGTTGTTCATAACTCAAATCCTGCTCAAGACTTACCAGGCTTCTTGGTTGCACCTCTTACAGTGGCTCTGTAAGGCATGAAGCTGGTATGAGTCTTCAGTAGCTGAGATTAAGATCCGTGATTCAATTTCCTGTCTCTTTAAATGTCAAAGAGATGGGATACCTAGTGATGATTCTTCATCATGTCTAATTGGGTCCTGCATATTTGATTGGCTCAGCTGGATTAATTTTTTTAATTGATACACTGCTGTTTTTTGCTTGCAAACTCCAGTTATGGCAGAATTGGTTAGTGTTTGTTCCCCCACAAGGTGGAGGGTGACTGACATCAGGTGGACCACAGAGGCAGGACTACCGTGATCTCCAGCTGGCTAGCCCAGCACAGACTGGTTCAAGTGGCAATTCTAAGCAGTTCTATTTTTCTAGAAAAAGAGATGCCGGAACTCATCATGGACGCCTCCCTTGTTCTCTTATAACAGCAATGGCACCCACCTGAGTGGTGCTGGAACTGAGTTCCAGCGAGTTCCAGCTGACAAAAGCCCTGGTTCCAAGGTTCCAAGGATAATGTTGCTGGAAAGCAACAGCAGGAAAAGGCTGTTGTGGTCAAGTTCTGTTTGTAGGCTTCTTGCAGGCATTTGGTTGGTGACTGGGGAACAGGATGCTGGACTAGCTAATCCTTCGGTCTGATCCAGAAGGACATTTCTTATAATTTGTAAAGCTTGTATGTTCTGTGTAAGCTGTAAGAGAGCTCTGTGCATAGTTATTGCTCTGTGATAGCCATTTCATGCACCTGTGTTCTCCACTGATTGCAGTTAAAACAGTTCTGTGAATCTGAGTTGTACATAGGGCAGTAAGTACCCCATTGGAAAAAGAAAATATTCTGTACCAAGAAAAACTGATGCTGATGACAATTTGCATGTAGCACGTCCTCTCAGTTATTGAATGCCTTGATAGTCTCTGGCTTTTGAGATTTCAAAATGGAGCGCTCACGTATTTTCAAGCACTTTTTGTACAACCATAAGAGCTGGGAATTTGCTTTAAAAAAACCGAGATTCTGAGGAAGCTGTATTGAGGCATCACATGCTGCCATTTTTTGTGCTCTACTGAGTCGTATCATTCATGTTTCTGTACTTGAAGATGTAGGATTCTTCCCTTCCATGAGATTGCCAAAGATTAATAATTATAATTTGATATTTTAGGTATTGAAATTGCTAAACAGAAGGGAGCAAGATACCGGCTTGGGCCAGAACTTGAAATTTGGTGAGAATTGCTTAACCATTTCATATATTTTATTACCCTCCATGCTGAAAAGACATGTAGTCCTTTTGCAGGGAAAAAGAGAAATATGATTTTCCTAATCCTCCATAACCTTGGGGAGTAAGGATATCAGGTATGTTACAAATATGTCAAAGTAAATGTAACTGAAATGTTTCTGTACATAGCTATAGCTATTGTAATCATACTTAAGTAAAATATTATTTTGCATTGCTTCTGAAAATTGTTCAGATACAGTGCTGTGCAAACTTAGCAGGGGTGGCATCCAGAGCAGTCGACTAGTCACCAGAATCACATTCCACCCTCTTGGTCCTGTCTTTAGATGGGAGAAGGGAAAGCCAGTTTTCATCTGCTCACCTCTTCAGACAGGTGATCAGCACTTTTAAAGGTGACAGTGTTAACACACACTGCCATGCTTACTGGTTTTTGTGTTGGGGTATGTAATGTTTGAAACATTCATCCTTAAGAGATTAATTGTCCTCAACACTTCTCTTCTACCTTCTGAAATAATGTGCAAACTTGTTTCTGTCCATTTGTGGAGCAAAGGGGGGGGTTGTAGTTGGAGGGGAAAGAGAGCCATCTCATTCATGCCAATAGCATAACCAGTAGCAGATTTGATCGTGGACAGCAGAAGGATGGAATAGAGATTTTAATACAAAAAGGAAATAATTCTGTATCCTCCATACTTATTTCTTTAATGTCAATTACCACTGGAGTAATATAAATGTAGTTAATAATATACTCTTGGTTCAAGTGGTTGCTTCACGTTAATTGGTACAATTAATGTACAATTGCCTATAATGAAGGGGTTCTGCTTTAGGTAATTTCTCTTGTGAAAGCTCATAATTTCCTTCTTGGTATGAAAATATGTGTTTGTTGATATGATTCTTGTTTTCATGCAGTGGATATGGCTGCTCTGATCATTACTATGAGTCTGATACACTTCTACATTCATTTCAAGTTCTGGCCAAACTTTTGGAATCTCCTGTTACTCAAGACATAATCTGTGATGTTGGAATGTAAGTTACCTTGTAATTACAATGTGCGTACATTAGCTTGAGATCCATGGTTTGTTTATTTATTGGCTTTATACCTCATCCTTCCTCCGGAAGGAGCCCAGGGTAGCAAACACATCCACATTTTGTTTTTAAAAAAGGATTCTAAAACAGGAAAAACATTCCAACAACAGTTTCAGTTAAAAATACCTAAAAACAGTTACAATATGCTAGTACTAACCCTTTGAATTGGGCCTGGTAGCTCGCTGGCAGCCAGTGGAGTGCTTTCAGGATCAGTGACAGATGTTCCCATTGGGCTGCCTCAATTACCAAACTAGCAGCCACATTTTGTACTCATTGCAGCCTCTTCACCATCTTCAAATACAGCCCCACATAGAATGCATTGCAGTGGTCCAAGCAGAACATTAGAGCGTGGACAACTGAGATCAGGCTGCCCTGGTCCAGGAATGACTGTAGCTAGTGACCCAGCCAAAGCTGAGCATATGCACTGCTCGTCACAAATATGTACTCTATGTGTAGCACTCCTAGCCACATGCATGTCCTGTTTTGCTATGCAGCACAACCTCTCAATTATTTTCTGTGACCTCATTTCCTCCATGCTATTCTGTGAACAGAAAAGGAAGTAATAATGTATTGGGAGCAGAACTTCTTCATAACTGGTCTGGAGTTAGGGGTGAGCAGTGAAATGACCAGGTTTGCTGATAATACCAGATTCTTTAGGGTGGCAGAATAAAAAGGGGTTGTGTGGAGCTGTACAAAGATCTCTCCAAACTCTGTGAATGGGTGTTAAAATGTCAAATGTGGTTCATTGTAAGCAAAGGATGCACGTGGGGGGCTAAAGAACAACAACCTTCAATTGTTCTGACTTCACACATGCCCTGACAGGTTGGTAACATTGCAGAAGCAAAATATTGGGGTTGTGGGAGATAGGTCAGTGAAAATGTTGACCTGGTTTGCTGCCCCTGTGGGGGGGGAAAACAAACAAATTATGTGGTAGGCATCACTAGCAAAGGGATTGGGACTGAAACTAGCAACTTGATTATGCTTTTATATGAAAGTATGATATTGTGGCCAATTTTATCCCAGTGGGTGATGAAATCACTGCCTTGAAAGTGTGTAAGTCTTGTAGAGAAGGAATCTCGGGACAATTTTGACTTCTTATTATTAACTCTTAACAACCTAGCAGTACATGATGCTATTTTCATTTCATTCATACTATTGCAAGCACATGGAGGGGGCAGCCCTTGCACGACTAGTCTTGATTAAAAGGGGGGGGGGTCCTGGCAATATACGTCATCTTCTTTAACCTGGTTCTGTTCTTCACTGGATGCAGGCTTCTCATATCTCTTTAGACTTTTTATTTTTCATGACCTTGTTTCCACATTCCATTCTCTTTTTGCAGCTGTTTCCTTCAAAGTACACACTGTTCTTATCTCCTGGTCTTCCTGTTCCGGCTGGTTTTTTTGACAACTCCAGCAGTTTTTGGTAGTACTAGACTTCTAACCCCATCTGTGCCGTATTTCATTCCATTATTTTATACGTTTGTTTCATAACAGTATGACCCTCATTTGAAGTACTGGGTTGTATTCAATGTTGTGCTGAGGGTATGGTTCTGTCAGTGCAAGGATTTTCCTTTTGTGGCTGAACCTTCTCTCCTCCTGTCGCACACCATCTAAATCTGTTCCAGGGGTTCCCCCAACCCTTCAGAGAGGATTTAGGGATGGAGAGGGAGAATGAGGGGGAATTCCCACCATGTTGGTAGGAATCCTTGTGCCGGCTTCCCCTAGTGCAGTTAGTCAAATATGGCCCATTGTGTACACTTCTGGTCACTACACTTCAGCAGAGATGTTGTTGAGCTGGAAAAGGTGCAGAACAGGATAGCCAAAATGATGAAGGGGCTGGAGCAACTCCCCTATGAGGAAAGGTGAAGCCATTTGGGTTTTTTTAAAGGTTTCCCCCCCCCAAAAAAGGTAAAATGATTAACAGAGATTCCTCTTCTTCAGTACTGAGCACATTTGTACAAGCTCAGTCATATATAAATGAAGTGGGATCTGCAGAAGGCTAGAATCTAGTTTTGCCGTGCCTAGATGATGGGCATGCAATGGGGACGCCTGCAGCACTGAATTGGCTGTTTCTGGCAAGGTGGGGTTATAATAGGAAGAGTGACAACAGTGAGAAATATTTCTGGTGCGTGCTAGAACTGAGACGTTTTGAGTGCATCAGAGTCTAGGTGTGTGAAAGATATTCAAAATTCAAAATTCCATTATTTTGTTCAGGTCCTCTCATATACATATATATGTGAATGTCATCTGTAGTAAAGAATCTCTTGATTACACTGATTTTTATTATTTCTGCAGGCCTGTCATGCACCGAAATGTTCGCTACAATTGCAGAGTGATCTTCTTAAACAAGTACGTGACCTCTTTCCAATCAAAGTACTCTTCCTCTCTTTTTCAGAATGTGCCTCTCTGGGATACTCTGTGTGCTTGTGTTTAGGTGCAGATTTAATCCCCATTTTTAAAGTGTAAAAACTAATGCTTAGGCCTAAGTATATGTTTGATTGTTCTCTGTTGAAATAAGCAGATTTCAAAATCCTTAACTTTGGCTGGGTTGCAGTAAAAGAACATTTCTCAAGGGCCTTGTTTTCATTTTGTTGCGCTGCCTGTCCTCATGGTAGCTTTATTTGTTTTATTCAAGGAAAATACTTCTGATACGACCAAAGATGGCGCTGGCAAATACAGGAAACTACCGGGAGATGCGATGGTTCACTCCTTGGAGTAGATCACGGCAAGTTCCTATACTTCATTGTGATAGCCATTCTAGAGAATTGGGTTGCTCCTTGACGTATATCATGCCAAACCTCTGTTAGAAGATCTTTCAGGGGGCTTTGTTGTGTGGCTTGTCTTAAACATCTTTTTTTAAAAATCATTGCCATAATTGCACCCATGCTGACATTGCATTCTGGTATAATACTTTGTCATGAGCACCATGTGGCATGCTAGCCATGCATGGCAGCCCGCCATGAGACTGCAAAGCCAGGAGGGTTGTCCTCTCAGGCTGTAAAGCTGCCCTTGGGGCTGCCCCTGAAACTGACCCAGAAACTCCAGCGGGTGCAGAATGCCACAGCGAGACTCCTTATGGGGTCCCCGCTGTGGGATCACATTCACCCAGTGCTATACCAGCTGCACTGGCTCCCAGGGGAGTACAGGATCAGGTTTAAGGTGCTGGTTTTAACCTTTAAAGCCCTAAACGGCCTAGGGCCCTTATTCCTATGGGACCATCTCTTCTGGTATGCCCCATGGAGGACCTTATGGTCTGCTAACAACAACACCTTGAAGATCCTGGGCCCTAGGGAAATTAGACTGGCCTTGACTAGAGCCAGGGCCTTTTCGGCTGTGGCCCCGGCCTGGTGGAATGCTCTCCCACAAGAGACCAGGGCCCTGCAGGATTTGACATCTTTCCACAGGGCCTGCAAGACAGAGCTGTTCCGCCAGGTTTTTCAGCAGGATGCAGTTTGACTTACTTTCCTTTGTATAAAACAAGCCCGAAGGAGGCCCCAACCCGCTCACAGGTCCTTGTATGATCAGTGGAAACAGTTGGTCCTGGCAAGTATTAACCACTCTCAATTCCACCCTGATATTTGCCACCTGCCCATATTTTAACTTGTCTGAATTAATTTTAAGATGGATTTATGTTTATTGTGTTGTTTTTATGATGTTATCTGCTCTGAGCTCAGCCTCGGCCGGGGAGGGCGGGATACAAATAAAAATTTATTATTAATATAATATAATTATTATTAAAGTTACATTTGACTTTTAAAATTATTATTATTTGTTGAATTTGCATACCACCCTATACCCATAGATCTCAGGCTTGGTAAGTTGCAAGTTGTGCAGGCCTTGTTTATGAAAAGCTTCTGCTTTAACTTGATTTTTATTTTTATTTTTAAACCCCTCTTTGGTCAAAGAGTTTTAGCTGAAGAGGTTTGGCAGTGTGTTAAAATTTAGTATATGGAAAAGTGTGTTTAAGTGCTTATTTGTCGCATAATTCCCCCCCCCCCATACCCTCCTTTAGGCATGTGGAAGAGTATTTTCCTCCCAGGATGATACAAGAGATAACAGTTCAGGTACAATGCTTTGATACATATGGGGGATAGCAGTATAATAATAATAAAACCCACCACCTTTGACTGTCGACCATTGGCTGGATCTAGTCACCTCAAAGAAGTGATTCAGTTAAGCGCATTGTAAACTTCATACAGGGAAGTTCTGGTGGCGAAAAATGGGACTCCACAGCGCCATCATGCATATAAAGCGCTTTATCTTTGCAAATGTTGCAGAGTCCCAAGGTTTAGATACTAGCGGTTTGATGTTACAGGTGCTAACTGGTGATTTTTGTTCTCCTTTCTATGTTCTTATATTTGGAATATAAATATAAATATATTTGGAATATAAATAAATTCAAAAACTAAAGTTGATTGAAAACTCATGTATTATTACTGTTAATGGGACATGCATAGCCTTGCACTTCAAATTTTCCTGAATAAATGTTACCTCAGTATTTCTACACTGTATTCTCTTGCCAAAAAGGCAGTTTCTGCAGTGTACAAATTTAAAATGAAAGCTCATGTAAAACAAGCCATAGGAGCTTTTGGAGACCATGGGCACATTTGCAAATCAGGTGAATTGTTGTGGGTGCCACACCATATCCTATTCTGGCTAGATTCTGCAGGAAGAGGGGACCCTGAGGGTAACAGCAAAGGCCTCTGTGGTTGTCATGTTGGCAACTCTCATTTAATTCCATTAGCCTTAAAACAACGGTTATGTTAGCATAGCCCTTAACCATAGCTGTTGTTCATCTGGATTCACTTTCAGACCAGGGTTTGAAGCAAGTTTAAATTATCTGATTTAAACTAAAAGCTTGCTTAACATTAAAAGTTAACGCTGGACTGATTGGAGAGAAGGGCAGGAGACCCTGTGAGGAGGAAATGTGAAACCCCATAGTCCACTTGTGATACCTTTTATCTTGGTTAAGGGATCAGAAACATGCCTTTCAGAAGCGCAGTTTCCAGAGCTTAATTTCCTGACATGTTTTGTAGCTGAGAGCTACTGTGCCCAATATTACATCTTGTGACTTGGATTATAATTGGCCATCCCTGTGTTATGGTACAGTATGTTCCAACTAAAAAAATATAAATGATGTAAACTCTAGTTTCATAACCTTTTTGAGAGGTGTTTTTATTACGGTATTGTGAGTCAAATTGCATACGATAAATGCCTTTATCACAGCTTTAGATGGATAATTTTGTATGTTGGTCAATCACATTATTTTTTCCTATTCCAATGGCCCATCCTCACTCCTTGCTTGTCTTAGGAAAGTGTCCCATTTGGTGATGCAGTTCTGGCAACTTTAGATACCTGCATAGGAAGTGAAATCTGTGAAGAACTGTGGACACCAGTCAGGTAAGAGAGGTGAATTAAGGTTTGGAGAGGATTCCCAAAGCTGCTAAAATAAATAAAATCCAAATCAATTTTGCAGTTAACATTGAAGACCCCTTCACTCTCTCTCTCTATGTGGAACATTCTAGAGAACAAGTCAGGTTAATCAATAAGATGGCAATATGGAGAACTTAAGCTTTCATTGTAGATATTTCTGTATCCACAAATGTCCTTAAATTGTTTATTCCTTGTTTTATACACTGAATACAGTGGTACCTCGGTTTTCGAACTTAATCTGTTCCAGAAGCCCGTTCTTAAACTGAAACCATTCTTAAACCGAGGCGCACTTTCCCTAATGAGGCCTCCCACCGCCGGTGCCCTTCCATCGTTCAGATTCCATTCTTAGACTGAGGTAAACTTCGCAAACTGGGACACTACCTCTGTTTGCGAGTTTGTAACCGATGTTTTGCGGAGTTCGTAAACAGGGCTGTTCTTAAACCGAGGTACCACTGTATAGTAATTTCGTATGGGGGGGGGGCGGTTGAGCTTTTCTAATGTGAGGAAATAAATGTTCATATCCAAAGTCACTGATCATAAATACCAAACTTAAACCATAATAATAGAAAGAATGATGGTAGTAACAATAACTCTGTATGCATAAAAAGATATCTGATAACAAGCGTCAGTAAATCATTAAATCAGAGGGTATCTATGATTCATGTAGCCTGAGGTGCTCATAGACTATGCCCATGTTTTTACCAGAGCTTCAGTTTACATTTCATATTTGCACAATAGTTTTTCTTAATTACTTTATAAGGTAAGCATGGGCTTGGCATTCGTAAATTGACTTTTCTAAAGTCAATATATGGAGCTCAGTCATCCATAAACATTTGATTCAGTGTAAAGCAGGCATAGGCAAACTCCTGCCCTCCAGAAGTTTGGGACTACAATTCTCATCATCGCTGACCACTGGTCCTGTTAGCTAGGGATGATGGGAATCGGAGGGCCAGAGTTTGCCTAAACCTGGTGTAAAGCTACAAGGCATGTGGGACGTTGTACACTGGCTGCAGCGCTCTAGATTGGTGGCACTATCTCATACATTGGACTTGATGAGAGGCACTCTTACCAAAGAGTGGGCAACACTCACATAGATGACGGTTTCCAAATGGAGACTTCATCCGCCTTGCTGCGTACTCTACTCATGCAGTAATGGTGTAAGTGGCATTTTCTGTATGGGTATATTAGTTGTACCTGAACATCTGTTCCCTAGAAGAGCACTTTGGCGGCAGCGAAACTGCATTTTCCATGCAGTCAAACAGCAAGCTGTTGCTGCGCTAAATTTTGATCCAGTAGCACAATGCAAATTTTGGATGTCACACAGCTGCAAGCTTTTCACTTAATTTGTGGTTCCTCAATTTCATAGTCCTCACATTGAAATGGGAATTGATGGAGTGGAGATCTTCACAAATTCTTCAGCGAGTCACCATGTATTGCGAAAAGCTAATACCCGAGTGGAATTGGTAAATTTTGCAACAGCTAAGGTAGGTCAAATATCCCCACATTTTACTTGATTTTTTATTAAATGGTGTGTGTGACATTGATATCTAATCAATATAATTCAAGGTGGCAAATGTAGTGTTGCCCAAAAGTCTCTGTTGCCAGTCAGACTTCCTTGGGGCCAGCAAGGCTGCTTCATCATCTATCTTCAGATCATAATCTGTAAAGCGTAGTCATGTTGAATTATCCTTTATAACCTGGGACTTGATTTTAGTGCTTGTGAAAAGAAAGAAACCCTGGCCATGGTAGTTACCTTTAAGCCAGCGATGGCCAAACTTGGCCCTCCAGCTGTTTTGGGTCTACAACTCCCATCATCCCTAGGACCAGTGGTCAGGGATGATGGGAATTGTAGTCCCAAAACAGCTGGAGGGCCAAGTTTGGCCATCACTGCTTTAAGCAGATGATCAGTTTTTTGAACCCTGACAAGGAAACACAGGATAAATTTCCACAAAAAAACTGATTACTTAATATCTTCCTTCAGTATGGATTCTCTTGTAAACTGAGATACTCTGCAGTGGCCAGAAGTTATTTTTCTGATCGCAGCAATTTGGCAAAGTTTCCCTCTTGATCATGGAAATGAGCTATGGTTCTTTGAAAAGTATCTGTATTTGATGTCTGGCTCCCACAACCTCCTCAACTTCTTTACATAATTCTGTAACCAGGAGCAGATTGTGTGGGGAGAAGTAAGTGGCTGAGTTGTGTGGGTGAAAGCAAAATACTAGGCCTTTTCGCTTTCATATTTGCAGAGCTGGTATTGTGAAAGAACTTCCCACTGCTTGTTAACTTGGGTTGGCACGGGCGGCTCCAGTTGTTTGTAAGGACTTGTTGAGAACTGCCTTGCCTTTACCCTGATGCTCCTATTAAACATATTGGAGCTAGACTACTAGACAAGGCAGGACTACCCTTAAAGACAGTCTGGAGATGCTAGTGTAGAATGCAGCCACCGGAGTACTGACAGGCACTTTTGTGCAATTTCATAGAACATCTGTTTTGTGCAATATGCGCTGGCTGCCTCTGTGTTGCCAGGCCCAGTTCAGGGTGTTAACTCTTAATGCATAGAGCTCTGAATGACTCCAGGCCTAGGTATTTGACAGAGCACTTCTCCCCATATCAGCCAGCCCAAGCTCCGAGATATGGGACAGGGACTCCTGTTTGTGGTCTCACCAGTACATTTAGCTTGCTGTGCAGGGACCTTAGAGTAGGTCGTTCTCTGTAGTGGTGCACCAGCTGCAGAGCTCCCTGCCCTGGAGGCATAGGTGGCCACAACACTGATAGAGATTGCATCACTTGGTGAAGTCTTGCTTGTTTTTTCTAGCTTCTGGAGCTGTGGTTAGATTGTTTTGAGCATGCCTTGAGTCTGCCTGGTATTATACCACTGGTGTGTGGGGTGTGGTTTTGTTACAGATCAGGCATAGGCAAACTCTGGCCCTCCAGATGTTTGGGACTACAATTCCCACCATCCCTAGCTAACAGGACCAGTGGTCAGGGATGATGGGAATTGTAGTCCCAAACATCTGGAGTGCCGGAGTTTGCCTATGCCTGTTGTTGATGCTTTAATGTTGATGTTTTAATTGTGTTCTGTGAATTTTTAATAATATGGCTTTGTTTGCTGTTATGGAAATTACTTTGAGGGCACTTGTTGATGAAGCATTCTGTTGACGGACAAAAGTGTGGCTTCCCATAAGTTGCTCACAGCAGCTCTCTAAAAGTAGAATGGAAAGCATTTTTTTTTTGCTATGTTATTTAAAAGTTAATGTTATTGTGGCAGTTAGTGACATATAGGCTGAATTGTCTTTTTAATAATATGTTTGTTCATGCTTTTTTAGAATGGTGGGATATATGTCATGGCTAACCAGAAAGGCTGTGATGGCGATCGTCTGTATTATGACGGCTGTGCTATGATCTCTATGAATGGAGACACTGTTGCTCAAGGACTTCAGTTTTCTCTGGATGATGTGGTAATGCATTTATTTATTCATTAAATTTTAATATACTAATGTATCATAAAAATATCTCACAGTGGTTTACATCAGTATAAACAAAACAAAACAAAACAGAACAGAACAGTAAAATAATAAAGAAACAAGTTAATAACAAACATCAGTTGTGGAAGACGTACTGTACTCTTAATTGCCTGCATAGGCCTGGTGGACTACAAAAGTTTTCAGTAGGTGTTTAAATGCTGGCACAGAAGAAGCTGCTCACTTCTAGGAATTGTGCTTGAGAGTGCTGCAAAATATTCTTAAAAGGACACTCCTGTGTGTTAGTGTGAGTGCATAATGGGAGCTTTATTTGCTACATTCAAAGTAAAAGTATGTTAGAAATTCTTATGCCTTTAGTATAAATGAGAAAACACATCAAAAATGGTTCTGTAAACTCAGTACCTTATTACAGGTTGATATCGCTGTCGTTTTTTAGGAAGTGTTGACTGCCACACTGGACTTGGAAGATGTCAGAAGTTACAGGGCGGAAATATCCTCTCGAAACTTAGCAGTAAGAATTTCTTATATGTGATTCCCCTCCCCACAAGGTGTTTGTTAGGTTAGAAACTACAGCCAATTTGAGGTAAAACTGAAGCATCCAGACAGATACTGTATTCCAGAATTTAAGAAAACAGCCTGCTTTTCTACAGGTAAAATGCCTCTTGTTTTCTGAACCTTCTCTTTTTCCGCTTTAATTGAACAGGGAAGCAGAGTGACTCCTTACCATAGAATAAAAGTAAATTTTGCCCTGTCATGTTTTGATGACGTATGTACACCTGTGAGCGAGCCAATCCAGTGGAGGTATCATAGTCCTGAGGAAGAGATCAGGTAGGCAAAATTAGGAAGAAGCCTGTCTCCTTGTATAACATCTCCCTGTCTGATGCAAACAGAGCAGAGTTGGACCACACCACTCCACTTTTCCCCTCCATGATCAGTCCGAAAAGCCTTAGTTTGTACCCCTGGACTCCCCAACACCCTTTACTAGATCAGCCATGTGTCTTTAGAGCATGGGAAAGAAATCATTAATTATCATTATTGGAGATTTAAAAATGAGATATTGAACTTCTGAACAAAGTGTTCTACAAAGTGTGCTCATTTTCAAGGCTGATATTTCTGCAAGCTTCCCTCCAAGGTTGATAGCTTTGGAGCAGTTTGGAACTTAATAGCAAGCAACATTTCCATTCTCCATAACTGAACACTGTTGAGCCTCAGCCTTCTGCTAAGCGGACATTTTGTAGTGAAATGTGGTGAACAATGACAGAATCCTTCTTACAGACTTTTTTCCAACCTTCATTTTTGTACAGTCTACCTTCTAATTCCATGTTTCTATGATTATTTTTAATGCCTTAAGTATTCTTATGGATAGTGAAAATTATGTGCTACAATATAGCCTTCCCTCACCCTTTCCCATTGTGTTCAAAAGTTCTGAAAATTAAAATGGATAGGCACATCAATACTAGACACATTTAAATGGAATTTATTTCAGAGGAATTGACTTCCTGAAATAAAATACAGATCGAAGCCACATGTGAAGTATCCGTTGCTTGGACATTTCAGACCCTTGCTACCAGGAGCTTCTGCTCATTTGTGCTAATTCTAAGCAAGCATATGAAGGACTGTGATCTGAACCTAGTTCTGAAGAGCACATGTAACAGTGTAAGGTCGTTCTGTAGGATAGATTAAGGATTTGGTTGAATAATTGGGAATATAGCGGGTATACCTGAAGGAGCATCTCCACCCCCATCATTAAACCCGAACACTGAAGTCCTCCTCTGAGGGTCTTCTGGCAGTTCCCTCACTGCGAGAAGTGAGGTTACAGGGAACCAGGCATAGGGCCTTCTCAGTAGTGGCGCCCACCCTGTGGAACACCCTCCCTTCAGATGTTAAGGAAATAAACAACTATCTGACTTTTAGAAGACACGTGAAGGCATCTCTGTATCAGGAAATTTTTAATATGCTGTAAGCTGCCCAGAATGGCTGGGAAAATCCAGCTAGTTGGGTGGGGTATTATTATTATTATTATTATTATTTATATCAGACTAAGACTGGGAAGCCCAGGTTCAAATCCCTACTCAACAGTGGAGGTCAGTGGGTGACCTTGGCCCAGCATAATCTACCCTGTGAGGACAAAATTGTTTATTTGTGTGCACATGTGTGTGAGAGAACCATGTATGTTTCCCTGAGCTCCTTTGGTAGGATACAAATAAAATTAAAATAAAATAAGCATCTTGCAGGCCTCTTTTTCCATGATTTTAGCACTAGGGTATGGATAGGATGCAATCATTGCTCAGTTCTGGAAAAGGAACAGTTCCCCCAGCCCATCTCACTAACTGTTGGTATATCTGTTGAAAGAGCAAAGCTGTGGTTTATATCTAAATGTGCCCTTCATAACTGATATGAAATGCCTGGATCCATTTCAGTCTGAATTCATGTCCCTGTCACGACACTGAAACTGCCTTGGTCACCCAGGTTGAAGACATTTGTTGATGCAGTGTGACCGTGCTCATTCTCCTAGTCCTCTTCATGGTTCTCGATACCATTGACCAGTTTAAGAAACTTGCTCTGTAACCCTGTGACACCTACCTGGAAATAAGTCACATTGATTTCATTGGAGCTTATTTCTGAGTAAATATGCACAGGATTGTGCTGTCAGTTTGTGTGTGTGTGTGTGTGCGCGCGCAATGTAAATAGAGACCATGAAATTCATAATAAAATATAGGGGCTGCCAAGGTGCAATCCCAGGAGAAGCTCCAATGATTTTGTGAGAATATGCCTTCTTTCCTCAGTCATCTTGAAACAGGTGCTCTTTTGCTTTCAGCCTTGGCCCTGCATGTTGGCTTTGGGACTATTTGCGGCGCAGTAAACAGGTAAAGATTCTACTCCCTCATTCAACTAAATTAGCCTTCCCCAATCTTATGCCCTTCAAAAAATTTGGACTACAGCTCAAAATATCTCGGGGGCACCAGGTTGGAGAAGGCTGATTTTTTTATTTTAAAAAAGGGTAATGGAAAGTCTGCATGGATTTTGAGATGAAGATACTATTAACTTAGAATTGCAGGTTGCCCATTCTCGTTTCTTTCTGAAATAGGTAGCAAAACTGGTGTTTATGGAGTGTTTTTTACTGTTTAAAGATGTTTTGACTTAATTTGATCTGCTTGATTTCCCCCCGTTCATAGTATTCCACAGCCCCTAATGTCTTAAAGTTAAGGAGACAGTTGGGCGAAATCAGTAAAGATAAGCTTGGTGAATTGCCTTGGAAGCAGGACACAGTTTTGCTTGCCATGAATAGGGATTTGCTGTGCTGACACACTTCTTTTATTTTTTAAAATTACCGTATATTCATATGCAGGCAGCTTTATTATATAATTACTCTATCTTAAAAATCAATGAAGTGCCCTTTGTCCAAAAATGGACTTCAGGGCAGTGCACACTTTTAAAAAAGCACCCAGTTACAAAAATACAAACCAACAACAAAATTTAAGAGGAATAAAACCACTTAACCGGACAAAAATAAAATTTTAATGCCTGGGTAAGTAAAAAGGTTTTAATCCAGTGCCAGAAAGAATACATTGTTGATGCCATGCATATTTGCCTCAGGAGGGCGTTACATAGTTGTGTTGCCACCATAGACAAAACCATCTCTCTTGCATATAAATGATGTACTTTTCCTAAAGATGTAACGCAGAGAAGGACCACCTTGGACTATCATAGTGCATAGACAACTTGGTGTGGGAGGAAGTGCCTCTTCTGATACTTGGGGCCGGTATGGACGGTTTTTAAAGGAAAGCACTAGCACCTTGAATTGCCTGATAATGAATATGGAGTCTATGGGTGGTATTCAGCTAAATCATTGTGCCAGTTTCCCACCCCTACTTCAGAACCACATGTTCAGGTAATTTGGTATATGGCTGCTTCCAAGTAAATCAGCCAGAAACAAAAGAAAAGGCCTACAGTGCTATTCTACCCATATCTACTTAGAAGTAAGTTTTATTAGGGGTTAGGATCGCAGCCTTACAGTATAAGAGACGTGATGCATAAGGGGAAAGGAATGAGGAAGGCATTCCGGTACCAACTGTTTCATGCCGTTCACAAACATATTGGATATTTTTGTTATCTTCTGTGTACATCACCTTGAGGTGGTTGCTTAGAAGGTGAATGATAAATTGATTATGATGATGATAGTCATTATGTAACAATATTATTATCCGGAAGGAGCACAGCAGAAATAAATTCTGAGAAGGGTAGAGTCAAATGGGAGTTGTTCTCAGCCAAATGACGGAAGGGGCCTTGTTTTGTCACCTCTCCCCTTGCACTTTCCAAAATCATATGAGAAAAGGTATGCATTTTAATTCTGATCTGAGAAGGGAGACTTGGGACCACAGCTGGCCAGAAGTGAATAAGATTAGGGTGGATATATAGTTTGTGCAGCGGTGGGCTGAATAGTCAGATACTACATGGTTGCCAACACTGTTCTGTTTTCTTTCTTTCTTTCCCCACTCTGTTGCAATTCATTAAGGGAGGATTTCTTTTGCCACTTAGTGGTGGCGTGGACAGTTCTTCTGCAGCCTGCGTTGTGTACTCCATGTGTCTTCAGGTTTGTTATGCAGTACAGAATGGAAGTAAGTGCACATGAATAGCTGTGATGACCGGAGGTTAGCTATATAGATCAGAGATGTGATCCTCTGGATGTTGTTAGACTCCAGCATCCATGAGCCCTAGCCAGCATAGCTAGTGAGGGATGATGGGAGTTGTAGTCCACCAACATCTGGAGGGCCACAGCTTCCCCATCCCTGCTGTAGATGCTGGAGATGTTTTTACAAAGAATTTGTTTTCAAACTTTCCAGGAACTCTTTCCAGTTCCGATCAGTTTGCTGAATGTATGAAGCTGACTTAGACTGAGTCAGACCACTCGTCTGTCTAGGTCAGTAGTATTGTCAACATTGACAGACAGCCAATATTCAGGGTCTTGGGCAAAGAGAGGACTTTCTCAGAGGATGCTAAGAATCCTCTGCATGCAATCATGTGCTTTGCTATTGAGCTGCAACCTTTCTGAGCAGCTGGCCCAGAACCTGTGCATGTTACAGAGGATCATGTGGCTTCTCTTAGGTCGCACACACAGCTCATTTAGAGCATATGGCAAGCACTGAGAGTGCACTCTTAATATTCCCCTGAAGTTGTATGTTGCAGAGGAAGTTCAATAGTCTAAGCATGTTGTCTTTCAGAGAAGGTAGTCCCGCGTTAGTGGCCTTCTTACTGAGATCCTCCCGAGGAGCTTTCAAGAAACCTCAGCGTTCTAAGCAAAACAGTTTTGAAAATGTCTTTCAAAGTATGTCTTGCACTTAGAGTCTATGCTTTAGATAAAGGTAGGATCTGTTTTACAGAGCGGGAACTAGATTACAAGACTCTGGAACAAGAGGGAGTCAATACTTTTAATTTGGCCTAGTCCCTTTGTAGTGTTCAAAATAATGGAAACAATTCTTTTTGATCTTTTGAGTCACACAGTGTGTTAGGCTGTAATCAGCACAGCTTAGAATCATAAGCCCAAATTGCTTAAGACTGCAATCTTAAAACATACTCAACTAAGGAAGTAGGTCTTGTTGAACACAGTGGGATTTATGTCCAACTAAACATGCATAGGATTGTGTTGTTGGTGTGTTAGAACCAAAAGCAAATTGAGCTCCTTTATTGAACCAAGGCTGTTTACCTGATTTCTCTCAGGTTTAATTTCTTTATTTTATTCATAGATTTTCAGTTATACACTCTTATCATTTTACATTCTTGTTCAATAATTCTTTTGGACTTTCCACCCAGCATACCATGACAGTTCTTTGTACATCTTAATTAGCTGCATATACAGTAATACCTCCACCTGATTTTCAGCCTTGTCACCCTCAGGTTTAATTTCATATCACTTACATTGTTTGGAACAAATGTAATCACATTTAAGAAGTTCTATTCTGCTACCAAGGAGTGGTAAAGAGTCCAAACTTTTCCCCAAAAAGGGAGAAATGCTTACTTCAAATAACTTCCCCCAAAGTATGCATTTTCATCTTTAAATTAAATATTTGCCCTTCAGTTTAAAGTAAGCTTACCAGCATCAATAAACTGTATTCAGAATACTTACCAACACAGAATTATGTTACTTTATGAAATTATGCAGCTGCTATTAGTTCTGACACACTCCATTCATCTCTCATTTCCCGCCTCCCTCCTTACTGTTTTCAGATCAGAGTGTGCTGGACGATGTGCGCAAAATAGTAAATGATGAGGCCTACACACCAAAGGAGCCTCAGGAACTTTGTGGACGTGTCTTAACAACTTGCTACATGGCTAGTGAAAACTCCTCTCAGGAAACATGCAATAGAGCCAGATGTTTGGCTGAAGAGATAGGCAGGTATATGAATGATAAATGCTTGATAAACTGTAGGTTGTGATTAAAAACCTTGATTCAGATCTAGCAGTACCATTAGACAGGGGCATTACGTTCAGATACGCATCTGCATTAGCTACAAGCCATGTTGCGTATGCAAGAGTTGCTGGAAACCACAGGAGGGCCAGCCCTTGTATGGGTATGGGATTTTCTCCACGTGGAGATAGTTGCCCCTACGTTAGCTGTCTCCAGGCATCAGTCAAGATGCATTGGTTTCTTCAGACCTCCGCAAATCGTTGATGTAAAGTCAAAGATGTTGCTAGATTATTTCTGGCTTTTATTTTCATCTTCTGGCTTGTATTTTTTATGTATTGTTGGTTTTTCAGTATTTTATTTTATTTTGTTAGTGTATTTTAGAAATTCAAGTCACTTTGAGGTTGGTTACTAGACTGCCTCAAATACTTAGTAAGTGTAAATAGTAAGAACATTGTTTGCCAGGCTTTTCGTGATTCTTAGGGGCCTCTGCAGGTTAGATGAGGAGACAGGAAGCTTTCCTTCTATGAACTTCCTTAGGTTAACTTATATTTGGCTCCAAGCCTTTAATCCTTGTTAGACAGTAAAGTATGTTAAAGCAAACTTATGAATTTTATCTTGATGAGGTAGAGAATGCTTTTCTTTGGTGGTAAGTATTTGTTTCTTCTCTCAGTTATCATATAAACATAAACATAGATGGAGCTGTGAAGGCTGTTTGGAGCATTTTCAATGCCGTAACAGGACGATTGCCCCAGTATAAAGTACATGGAGGAAGTGCCACGGAAAATATGGCCCTACAAAATGTGCAGGTAATTTTATCTATATTTATTTTTTCCTACTGATTTACTGGTGACTTGGTGATTCTTCTGACTATGGTAGACTTAGCTGTTGAAGTCAGATTTCTCTCGCTTTAGACCGACGCCATATAATTTCTCCTTCTTGCAGTTTTAGTTCTCTTTCTTCGCTAGCAACATCTATTGCCTACTGTCCTTAGGAAGAGGAGTTGACTCTTTTGCACTTCTTACAATACAGAGTAATTTACTAAACCTTCCAATAACTGACCTTGCTCCCACTTACTTTGTTATGTCAGGAACCTCAGGCCTGGGAGCTGAATATGGCCTTTCAGGCCTCTCTGTCTCTCCCTTGAGACTCTCCTCAGGCCACACATCCTGCTTAGGCATGTCCTTGTGAGTTTCTGCCTGGCTGGAATGTGTCCTTGAACTCTGATAGTGCCTCTTGCTTGCTTGGATAGAGCATAGAAAGGGGTGCATGAATTTCTGCGTAAGGCACCAGCCTACTGATATTCATTGCCCCACCCACTTTGGCCTCTGCCCACCACAGCCATGTGGCCCCCAGAAGGTTTCCCAGAAGGAAATGTGGCCCGCAGGCTTTATGTAATTCATACTTTTCTTAATATCCTTTTGCTGAGACTGATCGACCTGCCACCTGCCACTTGAGAATTCCTTCTTCCTTAAAACCTGGTTTTCTATATTTGACTTCTAGGCCAGGATAAGAATGGTACTTGCCTACCTGTTTGCACAGCTGAGCCTATGGAGTCGCGGAATGCCAGGTGGACTGCTAGTACTTGGAACATCTAATGTGGATGAAAGGTATGCATCTTAGGGATTAGGAATGAAGCTCTCTAAATAACTTCAGTAGATATCTAAAATGCTGGTAGAGACAAAAATATCATTGATGGGTTTGGGTTTTGTTACAAACAGTGTGCTAATCTCAAAAAACAAACAACAACAAAACTTGTCCCGTTTTCTTCTGTTTCCAGTTTGGTGCCTCAGCAATCATTTAGTTTACCTGCTCAGCATTTTGGTTTTCTACAATCAGCTTGTGGGTTTTGTTTCTGCTTTCTCATTATCTTTTGTTCCACGTTCGTTAACATCAGTTAAACCGTTACTGAAAACATATACATAACCATTTAATTGGATATATGGAAGTGGATTGAGAAAGTTGTGTGTGTAGTACACACCTTTTACTTTCTCAATATGTTTGCTTAATATGTCTGATTAAAAATGGATGGCAAACTGTACTGAACAAGTAGAGTCCAGTAATTCAGTTATGTAATATCTGTCAACTATTACTCACCATGATGGCACAACATCCAGCTGTTCAGGGCTGACCGAAAGTGGGAAGTGGGTCATTCCAGGAATACTAAGGTTTCTCATGTTTTGTCTGAAGCAACTAATAGTAGATTCTCCTTCTGTGGAAATTTCAAAGAAAGGAGTTGTTCAGACAGTCATGGTCGTGAATTTCAGTGTGTCTGCTCTGGATAAACATTAGTTGAACACAACCACTAAAATGTTTATATTGTTGCATGACAATGTGTAAGAATCTGGACCTTTTTCTCTCATTTCCTTTCTGGATTAAATGCAAAGTAAAAATACTTGTGTTCTGCCTGTCAGCCTTCGTGGATATTTCACAAAGTATGACTGTTCCAGTGCTGACATCAACCCTATTGGTGGAATTAGGAAGACAGACTTGATCAGCTTCATCCAGTATTGCATTGATAATTTTCACCTAACGTCGCTCAGAAGGTAAGACGTGCAGTGATGAAGCTTAGGCTTTCCTTTAAACTGGACTACACTCTTGACACCACAAACTCTCCTCTGATGGTTACATGTTAGTATGATTGAAGTCTGACCCCAATTAGGACTTTTGACTAAATTTCAATCCGTTTTTGAATGCCAGCAAGAAGCAGTATTGCTTATCCTAAAGAACGATTGTATTTGACAGCTTACTTGACCAATGGGAAATAGTTTCCTGAGGCCAACTGTATTCCATCATCTTAACATTGATTGACAATTTATGTATGCTTGCCATTCAGTAGAAACAAAACCGCAAAGGAGATAATAGTGGGAACTCCATGTGACAGACACCCACACTTAAAATAGGTGCTGGGTAATACGTTTTATTGGAAAAATCCCTCTGTGTATTCCCACAGCAGACATTTTCATGTAACTCAGAGGACCTAAGTAAGATTGAGGCACCTTTCCAACAAAACTAGAACTTTATTTGTTTACACTTGAAGGGGGGTTATAGCTTTAGTGGTTACCTTTGAAAGGCACAGCACTTTGTTTCAAACCAACAGTCTTTACAGAAGATTTAAGATCTTCCTTAACCTTCACACTTAAACCAGTCCTTGGAAAGTAATATCTGCCCCTTGATAATTGTTCTGGGGAAAAGGGAACACAGTGAGTCCTTGGTGTAGATAAGCTTCCCCCTTGCAAGAAGAGCTAATTCTTTAAAGGAGACCCAAAAAACTAATCCGGCTGGATTCTTTTTCTTTTCCAGTGTTGTGTCTGCACCACCAACAGCAGAGTTGGAGCCCCTGAAAAAAGGAGAGGTCACTCAATTAGATGAGGTAAAGGACAGCAACTACAAAAACCCCTTGGAAGCCTGATGTGTAGCTGCTGTTTGTTGTTTGTTTGTTTGTTGATTGTTAATGTTCCTGATTACTCTACATTATGTGTTGGTTTTGTGACTCAGGCAGCACAAACAAATCAATGCAAATGTGCAAACATCACATCTTTTCCTTCAATTATTTCTCCAGCAAACCAATAAGGCATCTCAATTATAATATCTTGCATTGGACATGATGTCAGTGAGGGAAGCTTCTGCGCAGCCGAGAAGGCTTGGTCTGGACAGCTCTGAGTTAGTTTGTGGCAGCTGTGAAAAAGGGAAATTCCATGCTCTGGATCAATAGAAAAGGAGTTGAAAAGAAAACTGCCAACATCACAGTGTCATCATGCAAATTTACAGCACAACTCCTTCAGGAATACAATGTACAATTCTGGTCGCATCACCTCAAAAAGGATATTGTAAGGTTGGAAAAGGTTCGGAAAAGGGCAACCAAAATGATCAAAGGGATGGTGAGACTCCCCTATGAGGGAAAGTTGCAGAATTGGGGAATTTTTAGTTAGAGAAAAGGTGAGCAAGAGGTGACGTGATAAGAAAATTAGGCATGCTATGGAGAAAGTGGATAAAGAAGATGTTTTTCCCCCTCAGAAACTCATCGACATCCAGTGAAGCCAAATGTTGGCTGGATAGGAATCATTCTTTCTGCTTTGCTAGTTTTTTTTAATTGAAAAGAGTTGGGTCTATACGTGAAAGAGCATTCAAATTGCTTTTTATTCTTCCATGTATAAAGAAAAGTCTCTTCCAAGTCCCCGGACAGCCTCAGAACAGATGATAACTGGGCTACGTGTACCATGGGTCTGATTTGGTTGATGGTGGCTCCTTAGGAATTCAGTTTTTATCTTAATCTATGTGATTTCAGGAAGACATGGGGATGACGTATGCTGAACTCTCTGTATATGGCAAACTAAGGAAAATAGCCAAGTCTGGACCGTACACTATGTTTTGCAAGCTAATCACAATGTGGAAAGATATTTGTACTCCAAGAGAGGTAATGAGAACCCTTGTCCCATGTTGGGAAGTGAGATTTGGGAGTTGGAATGATGTGGAGATGAGCGACATGATATTTTGCAGGCAGGGTGCTAATGTTGGGCATGGTGTTCAAAGGCTGCAGCAATGAAATTGTCAGCTGCAGAAAAACCTTAATGGCAGAAGGACTTGAGGTTGTCATTATGTTTTCTTTTGAGTGTAGAGGAGGAAGAGAATTCCATTTGGTCTGCATTTTTAAGCAAATGCAGGACCTAATTCTCACCTCCCAAACTAATACATTGATTAGAATAATTATTCAATTATCTTTTAATCAAACATACCAATTCATTTGAAAATGCATATTTTATGATGAAATGTATTTTAAAATGTGTATGTTAAGATAAAATACATATTTAAAGTTGCATTTTATTGCATATACATTCTTTGTAAAATACATTCTTTGTAAAACATATTTTTAAAATAGCAGATTATTATGGAAACAGAATAGAACTGATTTATAAATATATATGTGAAATTGACACAGGCTGGAAATGGACTGATGTGTCCATTCCTATTGAGGACTATATATATTCAGAAGAAAGGAGGTTGATGACTATTTGGAAGAAGACAATTTTATCAATTAATTGGCCCAAGATTGATGCATTATGGGAATTTGGGAGTGAGTTGGACACTTTCTCTATTTCTGTGTGTGCCAGACAGAATTTGGCCACCATTTTGGACAGAGTCCATTTTTTATGCACATGACATTGGCAGGCCCTTCAGCACAGATACTGAGGCTCAATAACTTTATAGATTGTTAAAATTTTACCAATAATATATAAGGTGAAATATCAATTCAACCTTGAGAGATGCAGTGGCATAATTCAGACATCTTGCCAAGTCAGGATTGAGGAAGCTTGGTATCAGTATGTTCTGATACATATTCTGATGTGTATTCTCATTCTCTTGCTGCATCTAGTATGCTATACTAAAAAGACCCGTCTTTTAAGAGCCCTTTTCTCATCTGGGATTCTGATTGCGGTTGTGAAGCACCTTCAGGTTGTTTTATTCTGAAATTTTGTGTGTTGTACACCAGGTGGCGTCCAAGGTTAAGCATTTCTTCCGAATGTATTCTATCAATCGACACAAAATGACAATTCTCACCCCATCCTACCATGCTGCAGACTATAGCCCTGATGACAACCGTTTTGATCTGAGGCCCTTTCTTTATAATACCGCCTGGTCCTGGCAATTCAGGTGCATAGATGAACAGGTAAGTGGGAGCCTGTTCTTTATTTAATGTCAGAGCCCAAGTGCAGGGAACATTTGACCCTCCAGATGTTGCTGAACTGCAACTTTGATCGCCCCCTAGGCCTAGTCCATAGCTAAGGAAGATGGGAGTTGTAGCTCAACAACATCTGGAGGGCAAAAGGCTTTCCATAGTTGTTGACATCATGGTGATGCATAATATACTCAGTACAATGGTACCTTGGGTTAAATACGCTTCAGGTTACAGACTCCGCTAACCCAGAAATAGTGCTTCAGGTTAAGAACTTTGCTTCAGGATGAGAACAGAAATTGTGCTCCAGTGGCGCAGCAGCAGCAGGAGGCCCCATTAGCTAAGTGGTGCTTCAGGTTAAGAACAGTTTCAGGTTAAGTACGGACCTCCGGAACGAATTAAGTACTTAACCCGAGGTACCACTGTATATGTATAACGGAAGTGTGGTTAGTAATGTACATCTCCAGTAGAGAGAAAGCAATGGCCATTACAAGGAGCTAAAATATTCTATAGAAATGGATGTCAAAATATTGAAGTAGTTAAGTGTTATGGAGACCCTTATAAGCAAGCAGAAGTTCATTTAATGTACGAGCTATTCTTTTGTGCATCTATAGGCACCTTTTCTCTTGAGGTTGGTTAGCATGGCAGACGTTACCATCAAATTTCATAGCCAAGCAGGGATTGGAATCTGGGTTTCTTGGGTCCATGCACAACAGTTTAGTCAGAGGTGGAAAACCTGTGGCCCTCTAGCTCCCATCAGCCCCAGACAGCATGGCCAGGGATAAAAAAGGGGGGGGCTGTAGTCCAGATTCCTCACTGTTCAAGCCTACTCTAGTAATGGGATTGGTTTACAACCATCTAGCTTTCGGAGCTAGATGTCAAAACTACCTCTTTTAAGGGGTCCCAAGCGCATTTCCTAACTTGCTTTTCTTTTGTGGGGACCATTGGGTGAGGAAGCTTCTGAGCCATTGTCCATCCCCTCCAGTACGGGCAGAATGGATAGCTTTATGTAGCCTTCAATTTTGGGTACATGAGTGGGGAGAAGACATGTATGTTCCAAAGCTTAGGCTCCCTCATGAATATACCTGTAATGAATGTGGTGGGCATTCATGGCCATGCTCCCTCTTTGCCTCTGTCTTTTGCAATACGATTTCTGACACATGGATAAATGTGAGCTTACCCCAGCCAAGGCCTTGCTTTAAATAATAATAATAATAATAATAATAATAATAATAATAATAATAAGCGTTTGTGGGGCTTGAACTGGCTTTCTTGCCCAAAGCAAGGTTCATTAGGTTCGTAGCTGAAGTCCTGCTTTGCTGCAGCATTCAGCCTGATCAGTGGAGTTTTAGACCTGGATATGGTTCTGTTCCAAGGCAAGGTACTGGAAGGTATGGAAAAGATCAAGCAGGCATCATAATTATGACTTGCTTGTGGTCTTCAGTCACAGCCGTAACATTATTTTAATGTATTTTCTTTTGCTGGACAGAGGAATGTTAACACCTTCACATTTTCCCTGCCAAAGATTTTTACACCTTGGTTGCCTTTAATAGAATGTTTATGCATGCAATAAAATGCTAATTCCCACCTCCCTGAAATGCCAGACATGCTGTAATAGTATCTGACTTCCTGGAAACGCAAGATAAAAGATGCCATGTGGTCCCTGCTTCTTTTCTTTCTTTCTTTTAAGCTTTGTATTGTTTTTCCATCATTTTTTCCACAACGTAGACCTGACCCAGTCTCATTGAAGTCAAAAGGGTTGGGGGGGGGGAACCTTACTAGCTTCAGTGAGAGCTCGTTTAGATGTTATTGCGGGGTCATATTTTAAAAATCTTTCTGTGCCTGTAATAATTTATGGGCATGATTAATCGGGGCTTAAGTATCTAATTACCCGGTATATTGGTGTAGTCATTAGCCTTTGCCAGATGCCTAGGCAATATTGCCAGGTCTTGCAGCCTTATGTGGAGCTTGGACTGCGCACAAGTGTTATGCTGGCAGCCGGATTGCTCAACTTAAGCAGTTTGAATTGTCAGGAAGGATGACATTCCTAATATCTCATGTATTCAGGAGGCTAGAATTGTAGAGTAGGAAGGGATCCCAAGGGTCATCTAGTCCGGCCCCTCGCAATGCAGAAATCTCAGCTAAAGCATCCATGACAGAACACCAGAATGATTTGTGTTGCAGGCCCAGGATCCCTCTTCCCATTCCCTGCCCCACTCACTTACTCAGCTAGTTTCTGGGGCTGAAGCTAAAGCCACATTCCATGCGTTTGCAGACCCCTGCAACTCTTGGCATTTCCCTTTTCACTCCCGGCTACTTCCCTGCCAGTGTCCCTTTGAAGGCCACAACTGGCACACAGTTGAATTGTTGGTGTGAGCGAGGTGCACGCTTTCACACCAATTCTAGGCCTCTCTCGTGGTCCTTGGGATGCCGTAGAAGGACTGCTCTGCTCTCTTCCCATCAGAGCCATGAAGTGACTTTAAGGGATGTAACTCTGCTGGGCAGCAGAGAGGGAGACACCCTGATACAGCAATTTCAATTGCAGCTGCTCAGATCCTGAACGCTAGTCCATTTCCTACCACTAGAGTATGAGCACCAGTTATGTGTCGCCACTACAGCCCTATGAAATGTTGAAAGCAAGTACCCATTTAGTGTGGAAACTGTGGCTCATTGGGAACATGCTCATCATGACGAAGGGGCATGTATAGTGACCATTATGGGACCTGAAGAGGAGAAAGGTGTTTTCTAATAATAATAATAATAATAATAATAATAATAATAATAATAATAATAATAATAATAATAATTTATACCCTGTCCACCTGGCTGCTTTTCCCCAGCCACTCTGGGCGGCTCCCAATAGAATATTAAAGACACCATAAAATATCAAACATTAAAACTTCCCTAAACAGGGCTGCCTTCAGATGTCTTTTAAGATTGCCTCGACATCTGCTGGGAGGGCGTTCCACAGGTTGGGCGCCACTACCAAGAAGGCCTTCTGCCTGGTTCCCTGTAACCTCACTTCTTGCAGGGAGGGAACCACCAGAAGGCCCTCGGCACTGGACCTCAATGTCCGGGCTGAACGATGGGTGTGGAGATGCTCCTTCAGGTATACAGGGCCAAGGCCGTTTAGGGCTTTAAAGGTCAGCACCAACACTTTGATTTGTGCTCAGAAACATACTGGGAGCCAATGTAGGTCTTTCAGGACCACTGTTATATAGTTTTTTAGTGTCCCTTGGTGAGAACAGACAGGGCAGAGCTTGTGCGATATGAGTTAAGCTATTTTCATGCAAGAGGAATTGCCACAGCCTGCTATGCCAAACAGCCTGGGGTGCTTGCTTGCCTTCTCTACCAGTAGTTCTGCTCACAAGGAAGCACCCCAGACTGCATATTGAGTCCATTGTCTCACAAAATCATTTCTGTGCTTCTCAATTTGTTTCCCTGCTGCTTGGAATACTTGTTGTGATATTTTATCCACAAGCAGATCTGTTTGTTGGGAGATATTCCAGGTTCCCTGCTTTAAACTGAAGGTTGAGGTATGTTTGTCTTCCAAGCAAAGTGTGTTACGTGACAAGCTTTCAGGAGACAATGTAGAGAAGCCATGGGCTGGAAGGACTAAGAACCCCACCTGCTGATTCTGTTCCACTTTTTCTTGGAAGAAAAGACCACAAGGGTTGGGGAGTTGATGCAGTTATTTGTGCATAACGTATAGTTCAGCTCTTAATTGGAGTTTTGTCCTGCCTGGATCTTGATGAAAGGTTAAATAGTTGCTTGAACTTCTGATTTACAGGTTTCAAAAGTAGAATCCAAGGAAGTGAACTCCAAGCTTGAAGATGTGGCTTGATTCCTCTCACTCTTGATCATATCTTGAAGATCAGAATTTCTGCAGGTTCCCTGAATTATTTTCATCATTATTTTTGATCATGTTACTGATTTATGTTACTGTAATATCAACAGTAGTAAACTATTCAAACTGAACACATAAAGTATGATTATGGTTATAAAATTGTTCCAATTACACAGTTTAGTATGTTTTCTTGGTTTCTGATTGTCTCTTTATGAAGGACATTTTAGTCCTTGTTTTGAATCATCCCTCTCCACAGTTTGACATGAGACAGTCTCAGCTGTTTTTTAAAATCAACAGCTTTTATTTTTTTTAGAAAAATCAACAATCACCAAAAATAAATTAAACTAAATGTTTAAACAGAAAAGAAGAATAAGCACTGACGCAGAATAAAATTGCAGAATTGAATTGAATCAGTCTATTTTCTAAGAAATTGCTCTTGCTATCATGAACCTGTGAGATTATAGAAGCGCCAAGTTTACGAATTCTAAAGTCGGTCAGACTCTTCACTATAATCAATAACATGTGCAGAATTAAGACCAACAAAGTAATAATTCAGTTGCACTTTTTGTATACATTAAAGATTTAAGATGGATCAACAACATCTTGGATGACTGTTCCAAAACTTTGGTTACTTACGGGTCATATAATATGATTTGGCCATTTAAGTTGCCTGGATTTATTGCAGTGTTCTGGCTGGGGTGGCAACTTTTAGAACACGAGTAGTAGCTGTGTCTGAGGTTTTGGATGAAACATAAAATGTTCAATACTTGGAAACCATTGGAATATATGGAAATAATTAATATGACCAACACCAGTCATAGCAACTCAATCTTTAGTTTGGGAAAATATTTGCTCCTCTAATGAACAGTCTGCATATGATTTTTCTCTTTTAACTTGTTGAACTGAAATCATAAAATTTTACAGTCACTGGCACATGTGGACGTGAAAAATGATTTTTTTTTTCATTTTACTGTGCAATAAATTCCCATTTTAATGAATCTAATTGGCTCTGTTTTTATTTTTCATATTTTTTGTTATTTACATAGGTTTAACTGCTCTGGTCTGGTGGCTAGGACAGCAAATAGAGGCCCTGATTAAGCCTGGTAGTGGAGTATGTGATTAACTTTAAACACGGATATAATCCTGCTGATGTCAGAATGGCCTAAACAGGGACTTCTGGGTTCTTTGCTTGGCACTTTTGATATTTAATAATTTAGTTAAACATTAAAACCCTTGAGAGCTTGCCCTTGCATTGCATTTTTGCATTGCTACCTAGGGTAGTTCCCATCTGCCTCCATTTTTATGTTACAGTGCTTATCTCTGATGAATTTTAAGTAGTACTTAGAGGCTACCATATAAGTTATTGCCTTTTAGTGACAGGTCTGGTGGCTCGATTTGGCCCCCAGGTGCTTCATCTCTGGCTGCCAGCACAGCCACATCTCTCTTTCCCACCTACTCTAACCATCTGCCTACCCTATTCTGTCCCTTAGCTTTTCATTTCCACTAAAAATTGGTTCAACCCAGACTCACCTCTGTAAGAACTAGGCTTTAGAACACCATATAGTGTGCAAGAAAACATCATATGCTTTGGAGACAAAAGGAAAGTCTCTCCACAGTGGGTATGAATTCGGTTCATGGCCTTATTTGTGTATGAACACCAGGGACTGTAGACTGGACAACCAGATTCTGAAGAAAAACAATTTGTTACTGGACTTTTCCAGAGAATTTATGTAGGTTTTGCTTACCAATAGGCTTGGGGCAGGGGCGGAATCCGGTAAGAGTTTTTGTGCTTAAGTAAACTTCTGTGTTGGCAGAATATGGTTGTGCAAGTCTCCCCACACACAGGAAACGGGGCAAGAGTGTGGAACAACTGAAGATTTAGAAAAGAGCCAAGTTCTCACAGTAGGAGTGGGGAGCTTGGAGACTCGAAAAGCATTTCAAAACCCACTGAGAGATGATGGTATAGAATATGTCTGTTTGTTCATAATATGTACATAAACAGGAAAGAGATGATGAATAACAAAGCTCCCATTTAAACTAAACTCCGTCTTTGCCCATTCTCGGCCTGAATGGTCTTCTTGTCCCTTGTAGAATTGTGTAGAAACTAATCTGTGGCTTCTAAACCATCACGCTCCATACTTGCCTACTTGCCACACTTTTTAAAAAAAAGACAGTGGAGTTACTTTGACAGGAGGAGACAGGTTTGGAATGTCTGAAAAGCTTTGTGGTTCCTGTACCCATAATACTCTCCCTCCCAAGTAACTCCACATATGAACACTCATAAGTTGGCCCATTGAAATGCTGCAGGCCTTATTGGGATGGCTTCCAAATAGCTTCTCCCCAGGGTCATACTTAATGTTGTGAGTGAAATTGGTCCATGCGTGTATTAGGCCAACACATGAGAAGGGCATTTTCAAATTCTTGGGGACTGATGTTACAGAGGTGTAACAGGGCTTTAAATGCCAGACGCAGATTTTAGCAACCGCTGTGCACAGTCTGTAATGCTCAAATTGGTCCTTGCATTTCACCTGCACACCTACTCCACATGTCTACATCCCCATGTTGATTGCGTTTACACTGACACCTCTGCAGTCAGCCAGGCACCCTTGTATGTGGGACCTGCAGGTACCTCATGCAATTGGCACACATACCTGGCAAGGACTTTTGTCTCTGCTTCTTCCATATTTAATGCCTAGAGAGCTGGGATATGGAAGCAGTCATTCATATTCATTTGCTTTTTGGTCTTCATCAAATAAAAAACTTGTCAAAAATGTTTAAGAGGTGATGTGCCAGAACTATGAAGGGGAAAAAATGAAATGGGTCTTTTATGTTTAAGAATAGCCCAGATGTGTGAAATGTTTGCTTCAGGAGACTGTGACCAAGTGTTCCCACCAAAATTTCCACAGTCACTTACACAGACTGTAAGTCATAAGGTGGTCATGTGACACCATTGTTTGGCTATGCTGTCTTCCTGGAATTGACCTCATTACATTTTTAAAAAATACGTTGCATTCTGAGACACTTAAGATTCATATAAAGCTAGATTCTTTTGAAAGTTCCATAAGTCTCTCCTCTTGGCTCTCCCTCACTGTTTTTAGCTTACTTTCACTAAGGTTCACAGTGTCATCTGTGTCTTGCAAGTGTGTGGCCAAAATTATAGGAAAAGGGGAATGAAATAGTCTCTCTTGATTTTTTTTAGGGGCCTGGAGGCCAGCTAATTTTTAACGAGGGCTATATTTTTTAGCTGAATAAGGGTAGAATAGCCAGCAATGTTGGCCCATATGTATGAGCTGAGACATAGGCAAAAAGCTCATTAACCCTCTTTCCCTCCCATTGTGAACAGAAACAGAGGCACTGACTTCGTTTACTTCGGTGCCTCACTGCCATTTTCTTATGTCTTGGCATGAGCAAAAGAGCTTTTGGCTGAACTAAAAACAATAAGCCTTGTGGCAACTTGGAAGGCTGTTTTGGTTTGCTCATCTCATAAGTTTGTTGACTGGAAAAATAGCCTTTTGGGTAAAGAGATGCCTTTATCTGTTCCTGCAGTGGTATGAGAAAGGATTTAAGTGCCTTTGTCTCTGCTTAGGAGGAAGTGGCTGGTGTACATAATGGGGGCATGGGATTAGGTAGGAGCTATGCAGAGGGTGAGAGAACTTGGAGAGAGGCTGGATCTAGGCCTCAATTTATCAGCTAGTGAACACTGAAACAAGCACATTTTCCCTTAATGTGGCACCTGTGCTAGCCGTGATCTGGTGTGAACACTGCACTGTTCCATCCTCATGTAATAGCTGATACAGTCTCACTGCAAGTGTTTGCGTATTTTAGATTAGGGTGATGTATCCTGCAGTGCTAGATTATAAGAGTTCAAAGCCCTCATGAAATGGCAAACCACACTTTTGGGGGCGGGGGCAATGTGTTTGAGAGATATGGTTGCTGAACAGAAATCGTGAGAGATCCTGAGAGGCTTAAAAAATGTATTCTGTGATAAACATCTTAAGAATAATCTTATGCCTTCTAGAAGAAAAGGATAAGAACATAAGAAGAGCTTGCTGGGTCAGGCCAATGACTCATCTAATTTAGCATTCCAGACCCTCCAAGTGTCCCTATTTTCCAAGGACAACCCTAATTTAGAATAGCCGTCCCGGTTTCTGATTCTGACCCGGAATATCCCACTTTTCCTTAGGATGTCCCTATTTTCATTGGAGAAATGTTGGAGGGTATGGAGTTATCTGACCCCTGAGCTGTCTGAAGGCAATCCTGTATCGGGAAGGGGTTTTTTATGATTAATGTTTCTCTATGTTTTTATATGTGTTGGAAGCTGCCTAGAGTGGCTGGGGCAACCCAGTAAGACATGTCGGGTACATATAGTAAAATTATCATTTTGGAATGGGACGTCCCTATTTTCATCAGAGAAATGTTGGCGGGTATGGCATTCTGTCCTCACAGCGGTTGACCAGATGCCTGTGGGAAACCAGATTGTGGTTTCCAGTAACTGGTATTCAGAAGCATTGCATAGCCATCATGGGTGGTAGCCATTTATAGCCCTGACCTCCATGAATTTGTATAATCCTCTTCTAAAGCCATCCAGTGCCTCCTGTGGGAGGGAGTTCCATAGTTTATGCGCTGTGTGAGGAATTGTCTAATGAGGGCCAGAGCAATGCGTACGGGAATTTATATCTTACAGGTACCCATAGCTGGGATACTGTTACCCACAGATCTAGTGGTCACACAAAATGACCACTATCAATGAAATCCTGTGCGTTTCTCCTCAAAAGTGCCATAGACTTGACTCTGGTAAGTGTGTACAGTATGGGCCACACAATACATTTTAAATCACTCCCACTAGTGTCTGGTTCTTTGCAGCAGCAGCAGCCTATTTGCAGGCAGCAGTTTGCAGAGTTGATGGAAGGATTCTGTCCCAGACCATAAGTGAAAGAGAGTTTCTTTTGGTGGTGTAGGCAAAATCTCCTGCCTAATCCGTCCCCTGAATGGCCTGCTGTGTGGAAAGAGTGGCTGAGCTGCGGGAGGGCAACAATATCCATGTGGTGAGTCCTTATGTGCACTTGGCTCTTACTTTAATTCTAATTGTTTTCAGACACAAAGGATTAGGAATGAGTAAATAAGATTTTACTTATCCCCTTTGAAGGGTCAGCAATTAAGAACCAGCCTCTGAACCTGATCTCTCTTTTTTTTTTAATGATCCTGCAGCTTGAGAGCTGCTTCGTGTAACTAGAGGCTTGCAAAAGTGAAAAAACATGGGGCTTAAGGTTACCTGCTACTAAAGAAGGCTTTCCCTGAAGTATGGCCCAGTCATTTTATGGGAAGTGCCATACCAAAGACCACCTGAAGTCTTGTGCCAGCCTTGGGGCTGGCAAACCTGTGGCCCTCCAGAAGTTGCTAAACTGCAACTCCCATCATCCCTGACCCCTGGTCATGCTGG